CTCAAAACACTAGAGCCTTACAGCGTTAAACTGTTTTTGCACGGTTCAACACCTATGATGCTCCCCTGTGCGTTTGTAAAAGAATGTAACCTTTCTTTCATAAATGGAATTTATTACCTTCACACTGAACTCTTGAGTTTGTTTGACTTTGATACGGAACATCGTCAAAAACCAGTGCTTACACAAAACGCACCGATATTCTTAGAGAGAATCCATCAGGTAACTGAAGCCAAGCCAGGTTGTGAGGGTTTACTTTTAAGTAAAGCTACAATTAGTCTACAACGTGTCTAAAATAGAGTACAGCTCTTCAATTACCCTGTTTGACAGCTGGTTATTGTAACAATCTCTGCCAATGCTTGGATGCTGTACATCTAGCCAGGTTTCACAACACTCAAAAAAACACTTAGGTAAAACCTTCTACATTTAAAGGAACACTATAGGGTCAGGCACACAAACTTGTATTCCTGTCCCTATAGTGTAAAACCACATTCTATCCCCCTGATCTCCCTTGCCCTCCTTAACATAGTAAAATCTTACTTGTATTCAATTCTGCAGCTGCTCCCTCTGTCCCTGATCTGCCTGCCAGACTGCCATCATCAGAAGTGGTAGCCTGATCCAATCACAGTGCTACCCCATAGGACTGGCTGAGACTGACAAGGAGGCAGATCAGGGGCAGAGCCAGCACAATTCAAACACAGCCCTGGCCAATCAGCATCTCCTCATAGAGATGAATTGAATCAATGTAACTCTATAAGGAAGGTTCAGAGTCTGCATGAAGATTGTGGAGACACTGAATTATTCTGCAGCACTGCCCCAGGAATCCCCTCTAGCAGCCATCTGAGGAGTGGCCAGTGGAGATATCATTAGGCTGTAATGTAAACACTGAATTTTCTCTGACAAGACAGTGTTTACTGCAAAAAGCCTGAATGAACTAATACTACTCACCAGAACAAATACAATAAGCTGTATACTATACAATACGCTGTAGTTGTTCTGGTGACTAGAGTGTCCCTTTAATGTAGGTTTTATCAAATGTTTCCACTCACATTCAGTGGAGTCTGAACTTAACAGAATACACACTGTGCGATATGGAAGACATTTTAGTCTGTGAAGGCTGCGTCCCGGATTGATACACAACCAATGCAAGCGACTCTTGTTCTGACTGATGGATATTTTTTTAATATATACAAACAAAGAGGAGCAGGCGAAATGAAAAAGCTGTTTTATTCAATTTATCAATTCATGCTAAAAAATATCATATGAAAACACAAAAGTGAGTCAAGAAATACAGTACAAACAATCTATCTGTGAAACACATTTTATATAGAACATTTAAGCAGAACCCTATCCCACCTCTTATATAAAGGTTAAACAGCAAAATGAAATGATATATAAAGGAATGAAGTTGAAGAAAAAAATAGATAACACACCAAGGAATACTGGTAAACCAGTAATAAAGAATAGAGAGCAGACCCCAACAGAGTCGAGCTCTGTGTCACACAGTGCAAGCGTCACCTACAGATACATTATTACATTATTGTTATTATTTATAAAGCGCCAACACATTCTGTAGCGCTGTACAATAGATTAGCTACACACAGAAAATATGTATCAATTAATCTCGCATTGCTGGAAGTCACCTTTACTTAGATCAATGTTACAATCTTATGAAACAAAATATAGTACCAATACTTTGCATATACCTTTCCTTTACATTTAAACAAAATGATTTAGAAATATTCATTAAAAGCATAGCTTTGGCGTCCAATCAAAACCTTTCACAGGTCAACATCCAGTTATGTTTCGCCACAAGGCAGGATACGCCGGATCCTGCAAAGATTCTGCCAAGCAGTGACTCCTCTGTAATGGCCTCGTACAGACACTGTGGAGTCTTTAAATAATTCTGTTCAGCCTTTTTTACTGGACCACAAATCAAACCTCTCATTTGAAATGTTGTAATCCAGCCTTTCGAGGTAATTTTTAATAGTTTCCATAATGAGCTCGGACTATCCAGTTCTGCAAACCTGGTCATTAGGTCATGTTTAAAAAACCCAGTAATGTCTCAGATAACCACAAATGGGAAAGATTTTATTCATTCAGAGCTTGTACATAAATGCATACATAGATAATATTTTTTAAAAATGCATCAATGTATATCTGTTGTTGTCAATAAAGTTTAGTGATACAAATGTTTGGCCTGCATTTTGATCCTTTCTGAAGATAAATTCGAAACAGATACTCTGTATTTCAGTCACATTAGAGGATTGGGAGTTCAATGGAAAATACACAAATCGACAGAGAAAGCAACGGATAAAAATAAAGTATTTTTAAAACTCAGGATGTACAGCAGACAACAAAACACATTCCTCTGGAAGCGAATCCTTATATCTTCCATCTGATTTTATTTTTTTTTATTTATTTTTTTAGAGAAGGCTCACAAATCACTGTGATCACTTTATGTTGGTTGTAACAAAGTGAAGATGTGCAGAATTAATGGACCCCTTATCGTCCAGAGCAGGCAATGCAGCCTCCTGGTACTTGGCCCATAATCAATCTCAAATTGCTGCGCTGGAGAGTTCTGGAGACACCATTTTAATCTTTGCAATGTCACGAATCCTGGGTGTTCCAAAATGGAATCCAGCTGTGAATTCCTGAGGCTCATGGGAGGATCCAAAACACGATCTGTTAGTGTTACAAAATGAACCAGTCAATATGCTGGCCTCCCTATACAGCGCTAACAGCACAGGGAAAAGGTGAGGAATGTCAGGAATAGTTAAAGAGCAGCAATCGTACCAAACACGGAGGGTAAGTTATTAAATATACACGCTGTACTATATGTATATTATAAGATATAGCACTTCTTGTCTAAAATGGCATTTATTTAATTTAGGAAACAAAGTTACATACACCACCTGAGGGAACAAGCTACCATAATAAAAAACACTATGCAAATACGAAAATATTTCAGTAGCCATCTTCGCATTTCTTATTCCATGTGACACAATTTAAAAGCCTTTCTTACTCAGAATCAAGTTTCTTTACAAAAAGCTTTATTTATTACACGTAGCTTGTATTACTTGTATGGAGTCTGGTTGAAATTCCGTTAGAGTATTGCTCGAATTTGATTATTTTGGCCTCTATTCTAATTGTAATAAAACAAAAGACAGACTCTATAATGTAAGTATAGTGAGCAGCGCCCTCAATGCATCAAGCTCGTTCCTGTGCATCCGGCTCGTCTTGTTGCAAATACCTGTCCGTTAATCCACCTATTGTACAGCGCTATAGAATCTGTTGGCGCTTTATAAATAGTTATAATAATAAAACCCTTACAGTCTGAGCATTTCATTCTTGCCTTGTTGAACTATTGGTGACTCAGTAGTTGGACACACCAGGTTCCAACATGTGAATATATTTTCTGTTGTTTGGGCTCAGCATGTGCTATGCAGGGTTTCTTTCTGAGATGTTGGACCTAGTTTTTCAGCTCAGTAAATCTGACTTATTCCTCCAGCTGTAGCAGATCCAGTGGATACAGCCAGGGTTTAATTTAGGATCCGTGCTGCCCTAAGACTGCTGTCAGCAATTGTTATACTCTAGATTGCATTAATTGCTTATCATTACTTTTATTTCTTCCAAATCCCCCAGCATTAGGAGGGATGAGATGGGAACGGGTGGACGGGCCATGGGGGGTTGTTTCCAATGATGCAACCTGTGTCACTGACAATACCTACAATGGGTGGGGCTGTCCATAAAAGGAGAGGGACTGCCCACTGAATGGGCTGTCTGGTTGACCCGCAGCCTACTGGACCCTGCAAATAGTGCTGTTTAAGTGCACTCTGTAGACACATTTGTTCTGTGATGCCTAAGGACAGAAAAAATCAGGACAGCAAGACAGGACTTCAAAGTCAGGACTGTCTCACCAATATTAGGACTTTTGGAAGGGCTGGTTTCTTCACACATCACGTCCATTTAACTCCCTCCAGAGCCATTATGTGTCTGTTCCTCTCCCCCTTTCAATCATCATGTCTATATTTATCCACATTTTTCACCCCCTCCCAATTAAAATGCCTACATTCAAAATTTCCTTCCCCTCCACAGTCATCATATTAATTTCCAGATCTCCTTCTCTCCCACCTGTTTTTAGGCCCATATCACTTCCTTTCCTCTTTCCTATTAGGTGTGCGCCTTTTATGACAGCCGAGAGCTTCTGTCACCTGTTTTTTTACATTCTCGTACTGAGATGCAAGCCTCTCTTGCATTGCACCACAGCCATATTGACCTTGAGCATTAGTCTCATGATTCCAGTGTCTAAGTGTCTGTGTAATTTGAGGATCATTGGCCGTTTGTGCACCTTAGGATGATACCACTTCATCCAGAGGAGATAATTGTCTCCAAGGATGCATTTAAAATTCAAATGTTACGCCAAATAAATATCGAAACAGAAAATGTAGCGGTTTTGCTATTCAGCTAAGGTGGCCTAATATTTGAAATTCTCTTTCAATTCCCTGAATAACCCTGGCTGCCACCAAGCACTTATCCTATCACTGCCCATTCCCACTACTCAGCAATTACATCCATATTTCTATTAATGTCTAAAATCTCCATTCTCGCATAAATTTACTCCACAGCCATCATGTCACTCCCTTACCATGAGAAATGCAATACTTCCAGAGAAGGAGTAAGATCCTACAGATTACCAGTTTGGGGCTCTGCCTTCATTCTTCACCTATGGATGGTTATTGGGGCCAAGCAAACTCATGGTTCTGGGACCCCTGTCTAACCCAACCTTGGCTCAACGTATGGTTACTCTTGCTCTGAACACGTCATACTTTCAAAATGAACCTAATCTTCCCGTCCAGCTCCCCAGCCATTAGGTCCATGTCCAATAAGGCCAGATTACCATAGGAGGTGTCACAAGTGACACACGTTGCTCATTCGCCACTTTGGACTATCAGAGATGTTCCCTTGACAGTAAAGGCAGAGGAGTGTGAGGAGATTGGGAAAAAAAGATGGCACTTCTATTTTTTTACTTCATATTTCGTCAGCAAATTCTTTACTGTTTCACAATGACACATTTCATTTACACCAAAAATGTGTGTGACGTTTGTGTTGCCTTGGTGAGACGGGAGCTGTGTACATGGCTCTGTTAAATGTTAGATACAGCACATAGATTGCTGACATTGGCACACATAAACACACGGGTTTATACCAAAACATTCGCTTCTCTCTCAGCTATCAGAGTTCATGCTGTCTTTTCTCAAGAATTCTTCACCTGATTAGAAATGACCCAACTACCAAATTATAACTCATCACCTAATGACGTATTTCTAACTTATTTCACACCACAAAGCTAGCAACACATTAATGTAGCAGTTAATACTGATAAACCATGGACTCTATCTTCTACATATGTTCTGTCGAATACTCCCCCTCGACTCTGTCAATAAGATCATTTTTCTGACTTATTCTGTTTGTCTAACGCCATATGTAGACTATATATCATGGGCCATGCTTGTTATTTTATATCATTAGACTCCATATATTATATGTTTCTCACACAAAGTGTTAACTTCGAAATCCCAATGTGTTAGTTTGTTTAAGCTTATTTAACATGAAATGCCTGGATTCCAGCCTCCCCTGGTGTTACTCACTGTAATGTATCACGTCTGCCATAGGAGTTCATTGTTTGATCTCAGCTCTTGGTGATACAGGATGTTAAATCCAGGAAATTTCTCTTTCCTTTAATTCCAAACCATTGCTGGGCATCTCCAGCATTTTGATCATCTCTCTCTTAAATTAATGCGTATTCTTTTTTAAGGTCTCTCAGGCTGACAGCAAGTTTTTTTCTTGACATCAACTTAATGTTTACCACACAATAATTCAAATAAATGGGTCAAAATAAATATTGTGTGGACAGTGATGATTCTAAAATGTAAAGATTTGAGGGGACACAACACAGGTTCCCCCACTCATGCATATCCACATAAATACACAATCCCAGGAAACCACACATATACTGCCAGGCACAAACATACCTAATGCCAAACACACATATACACACAGTCACATACCCACTACCAGACACAAACATACCCACTCCCAAACACACATAAACAAACATACCCACTACCAGACACAAACATACCCACTCCCAAACACACATATACATCATACCCACTACCAGACACAAACATACACACTCCCAAACACACATATACACACAGTCACATACCCACTACCAGACACAAACATACCCACTCCCAAACACACATATACATCATACCCACTACCAGACACAAACATACCCACTACCTAACACACATATACACACGGTCACATACCCACTACCAGACACAAACATACCCACTACCAAACACACATATACATCATACCCACTACCAGACACAAACATACCCACTCCCAAACACACATATACATCATACCCACTACCAGACACAAACATACCCACTCCCAAACACACATATACACACGGTCACATACCCACTACCAGACACAAACATACCCACTACCTAACACACATACAAATGCACCCACTTCCAGACAGAAACATACCCACTACCAAACACACATACAAATGCACCCACTTCCAGACAGAAACATACCCACTCACACTCGCACATACAAACACACATCAGACAAACACATGGAAACATACCCATTTGTGATCATTTTTTTTTAATGTATATTATTTTAATCGTTATAGTCCATCTGTGAAATAAAACAAGACTCACATAACCAAAGTTATATTTTGCAAGATGTTTTCTAGATTTCCTGTAAATGTGAATAAAATATACAGATGCCTTTGAACATCCATCTTTCTGTCTACATCTAAGGACCGGAGAGGTTTACGGTGCCCTAGATACAATGGAATCTTTTTTATGTAACCAGCTTCAGAGGAAGTCTATTTTATACAAATCTAAGCACTTCTGTGTTGTTGAACATAGACTGGATATTATCAAGACATCTTTCCACTTTGTTTATAGAGAAACATTTTTAAGGTTTGGTTTAAGTGCTTTTGCAGGCGAAGGAAAGGATAGAGTAGGTTGGAAGGGCCAGTTAAAAGCAATCCGCTCAGATTTGTACGGTCAGAACTATGCTTTAACATTATTTCTCATTACTTGGGTGGTTGTTTCCACACCACGCCTGCCAAAATCAAGATCCCCTGTTTGTCCATGTCTGCAGGTGCTGGTTTTGGGGAGGGATAGATTATTGCAGTTACCCAGAGCATGAAAAGATCCTGATTTGGATAAACAATGTGATAAATACCACAATCCAGAAGGCCAAAGGATTAGATCTCTGCATTCCAAAATGTTTCAGAGAAATCACCTGATATTACTCCGTGCTCAAATAGAGTCATGCAAAGGATGGGATTGTGATGAGCAGTTAAAATCAAATTCTATCTTTACATTTTTGATGAGGAGATCGTAGCAGCCCCAAGTTGCAGCAAATGAAAATATGAAAAATATTAGACGTGCAATTTGTTTGGTTCCGAATGAACATTTAGACGAATTTCATGCAATTCGGACATTTGGATGCTTACGAATGTCCGAAGTGCCGAAGTTCCGATGTGGTGTGGATTTCTGAACAGTGGCAAAACAAGAGAGAGGGAGGAAAATTACGTGAATGATGACATGAATCTTGACCAATAAGCTAATTCCTGGCACTGGGAGCCCTATAGATGTGTAAGTGGTTGTGGTGGCAGTCTGGGCACTGAGATCCATATAGATGTGTAAGTGGCATAATGGGCAGGGGGCTCCCAGTGCCAGGACTGCCACCACAACCACTTACACATCTATAGGTCTCCCAGTGCCCGAACTGCCACCACAACCCCCAGTGCCAGGATTGCCCCCACAACCACTTACACATCTATCGGGCTCCCAGTGCCGGACTGCCACCACAACCACTTACACATCTATCTGGCTCCCAGTACCGGACTGCCACCATAACCACTTGCACATCTATCGTGCTCCCAGTGCCCGGAATGCCACCACAACCACTTACACATCTATAGGACTCCCAATGCCAAGAATTAACTTATTGGTCAAGATTCCTGTTAGGCATGTACAATTTGTTTCATGCAATTCAGACATTCGGATGGTTACACAATTCCTAAGTGCGGAAGTTCCAAATTGCCGAAGTTACGAATTGCCATTGATCCGAATTGCCAAAGCAGAAAAATGTTTCTACTTACCCGAATTTCCGAACCGAATTTCTTGCCCATGCACATCCCTAAAAAAATATTGCAGTCTGTATTATACAAAAGTGTGCTTCACAGAACAAGAGTTGTTGGCTGGCTAATGTTAAATCTGTGCATATTTGGCATCTGTCATCAGCTGGGAACAGATGAGCAATGGCGGCATGGTTTCAGAGAGTGAAGTCACAGAGTCTAGGGGTAAAGGCTGGTGTTATAGTCAAATAACGTTAAACTAGCGTGACTTCAATGCATGCTTACATTTCTCTACAGCACCATATGTAAGAAATGTTTGTGAAATCAGATACATTAACACAGAATGTTTAAAGAGAGAGATTACCTAGTAACAATTAAAACTGAATACATAAGGTAGACAATGTTTTAGTATGCGGTTCTTGTCTTCTGTATGTTGTATATATTAATTTATAAAGAACCATCATATTAAACGTGCAATACAGGGATGCAGTGGATGGAATTATTATTTATCTTCTGGGGTAAAATACATTATCTTGTATTAAAAGATATACAAGGGTATTCAGTCACTAGTGTGAGAATTCAAACAAATAAATAGTGAATTTCAAATTTAAGGTCAAAGCAGCCGAGTAACAGTAATTATAGTTGACTTCAAGAATTTTTCCAGTTCAGTTTTTTTCCCTTAAATTTGAAATTCACTTTAGTATATAAGTACTGTGATTGTAAGAATCACTGATCACTGGAAAGCAAGGTAGCCATGTGAAAAACCGAGGCTCAGTTTGATCATGTTATGGTAGGTTCACGTTCACCCTAACCGGTTTGAATTGTTCAACTCTCCTAACATTACAAAATGTCCATTAAAATGTACAGGGTAGAGATGTGTATACAACATAGCCCCCTGGGGTTATGCAATAACCCTTTAGATTGTAAGCTCATGGGCTATCTAACTAAGGACTTTGTATAAAAGAGCTTCAATGGTTATATCTCAGCTCACTGCAGGACCCTCTTTACCTTTTTTATTTGTCTGTTTATATTGTACTATTTCCCTAATTGTACAGCGCTGTGGAATATGTTGGTGCTTTATAAATGCCAGTAATAAATAAGACCCCGACAGTAAGACATAAAGAGCCAATTGATTATCCAATAGGTGCCAATTTGATTAAAAAAACAAACATCACGTTAGGACAACCAAACCTTAACTTTTAACTCCTCTCACAGATACGCCAGAGACCTTTCAAATGAATAAAGCAATTATCCAATCACATAATTAAGCATCTTCAATTTCCCCCCCGGGTCCTTATCAGACAGGATGCAGCTATCCTGTGCGAGATATGCTGGAATTAAAAAAGAAACCCAGATGCCTTATGAATTTATATCAATGCCCCATTGAATTGTGATTAAAAAGCTGTCAAGTGTTTCGTGGTGTTACTTTTTCTATTCCGCAAGAAATCCTCGGCTATCCAAATATGTAAAGACGTGTATTGTATGTGAAATGGAAAATGAAGCGTGTGTATTATACTGAATACTAATGAGCAGCACCATCACAATGCAATGCATTCACACATGGCAGGCGAGGACTGACCTGCTTCTCAAGTTCAACAGAAGGAGTTGTGACAGTGACAACAAATAGATGTCTCTGACTGTGGATCTCCTTCCTCCCGACCTCTCCTGGGACAGTCAGACCCATTTAGAATGAGATTAAACCATTCATTTTTCAAATTGCCTGAAAAGGCCCATCTTATTCTCTTTTTACAAAAAGGACGGAAGATGCGGGAACGTATCTGGGCTTTTCATCTTTTTTTCAAAGAAAATGCATTTTTGAAAAAATATATACATTTAAACACTTGCACACATCTCTCTCTTTTTTTTTGTAATATACAAGGTATATATATTTTAAATAAATATATAAAAACACAAGGTACACAAACTATAAATACTATATTTATGTGTAATATAAAAATGTAAATCAACCACGGAAACGTCATTGTTTTTTGCACACACCATGTGGCACTGGATTGATTATAATGCAGTTCATGAATAATCATTAAACAGTGTCAGATCCCCCTTGGCAGTAATTCCCTTGCAGCAAACACTGGGAGTTGGTAGTTTAACCCCTTAAGGACACATGACATGTGTGACATGT